CGAGCATGTTATACATCATATATATAGTGTTGTGAAAACGTGTTAGACTCCTTTCTGATACCGTAGTACAGTTTTCTGGTTCGTGTCAGACTTTTCATAACGAAACCATGTCCATGGTACAGACGTAGCCCCTCGTTTAGAAATAAGGACCTCGATTTGTTTTGATTAGTCTTTCTGTTTGGATCTACCTGGTTCTGCCTCATCTTCACTGGCCGTGCTGGTATTCTCTGTGCCTGCATCCACGTGGTGACTGTAAGCGCCATTTATAGTTACTACATGTTTTTGAAGTCATTTGTTTGATGCAGATTCTGAAATTTGATGTCTGAGAATAATGTATTTCGTCGTCATCTCAGTTTATTTAGAAGGCAAAACCTCAACAGGATCTTCAGCTTTATTGTGAAAGGTTTATGTGGAAAATAAACAAGCCGACGGCGGAGCCACACGTTGGGTTTACCGTCGTTGTTGCTAACGACAACGCGTAAAAACAGTCGCTTATCTGTCTGTAGTGTGGTTATTTTAAATATAGGAGAAAGAGAGAACTTTAAGAAATGAATTTAGCCATTACAGTGACCATGAAAACACTGAAAAAATACTGCAGTAAACAGTAGGGATGGGTATCGTTTAGGTTTTATCCGATACCGGTGCCAAACCGGTACTTTTGAAACGGTGCCGGTGCTTAAACGGTGCTCAAACCGGTGCTTAAAGAATGGAGAACACAAAATTGGTCCAAAAACCTCTCATGTTCAGCTTTATTTTTTGTAAAAAGATAACAATGTTAGCCTTTTCTGCAGCTATGGGGCATATATGGTATCACTCTTGGCTGGAAGCAGTGCTTAAACAATGGAAAAAAACACAAACTTTGTCCAAAAACCTCTCATGTTTAACTGTTTTCCACTTTTTCTTTGGTCATTTTAGCCTTTTTGGCCAGGGTGCAGGGAGTATCTGCCATCAAACAAGAGGACAGCTGCATGTAACTACGATGGTGTTTGCTAGTTCACCTTACATGCATTAATGTAATAACATGGTTAGCCTACTCAACGTAAATTACACACGAACAACATTAAGCTACTTACGCAGAGAAGAACGGCTGCTGCTGCATCATCATCCGTCATCATTTCTGCTACACTGGCAGGGCTAGGGGCCAGGACTCTCCTCTTCGGGTTTTTGGGGGATGTTGCTAACTCCGGGTCCGATAACAGGCAACCCACCCGCAGTAGATGTGCTCGGTGTGAGGTCTCGCAGCAAGCTATCAAATACGGCGCATTTTTCGGCTTTTAAAAAAAACGCTATGCGTCGCCAGGTGTTTCATCGGATTTGAGGTGTTACCTCCTTTGCACAGTATCAGCTTAAAGCACTTGTTGCAGGCTGCTGAGTTTGCATCTTTTGCTGTGAAGTACAGCCAGACTTTTGACCGCTTCGCCTTGGGCATTTTTAATCTGTAGCTCTGCTCTAAAAGAACGTACGTACCTGGACCCGCCTACTATCCTCGGAAGCGTAAAATGATTGGCTAGAATTCAAAGTGTATGACATCTCAGGGAAAAAAAGCACCGAAATAAAGCACCAAAATGTGCACTGCTTTTCGGTCTGGTTACTACCGTTTATGTCATGGCACCGGATACCGGTACCCATCCCTAGTAAACAGTTTATTTTGTGACACCAAGAAACAAATGATAGCGTAAAATGAAACGTTAGACATTTTCATATCGTCATCCGATATATATCGTTATTTCGAACAGCCCTAGGTGTTAGTGTGATGCCAAACTTCCTTCACAGTGATGTGATAGACTCATTGCCAGTTATTCCAAGTGCTTGATTGTAGTTCTTAATGCCAAGAGTGGCACAACCTGCTATTAGGTTTGCAGGGCAATAACATTTTCATATCAGGCCCCTTAGGATTGGGTAGCTTCTACGTTAGTGAACAAAGTCCTTATTTGAAAACTGCATTTTGTATTTACTCAGGTTTTCTTTGTGTGATATTCAAATTTGTTTGATCTGAAACATTCAAGTGTGGCAAACATGCAAAAACCTAAGATATCAGGAAAGGGGCAAATAGTTTTTCACAGATCTGTATGTGGTCAGGATCGTTGTGATTGGTTCATTTATGTCATCTGTTTTTTCCTTTTCTTGTCCACCCCCAGGCCAACCCATGAAGTGTAACCTTCATATTCAGGGAAATGTCATCACTTCTGATCAACCCATTCTATTGTGAGTGAGCCCTCGAGGCTTCTTTAGTTAATTTCAAATGAATCTCTACTCAATTGTGTTTGCGTGTGAGACCAGGGTTGGCTCAGACAGAGAGAGGGGACAGTATGTATAAGCGGTCCATGAAAAGGCAGTGAGTCACTGTATCCTCGTTATATGTGACCTTTTGTATAGACAAGGTATGTAGTGTGTTGGGTAAGTGAAAATCCAAATAACAGAACTGGTTAAAATGCATTACAGTGCTGATCAGCATCCTTCTACCCTTCACAGACTTCCTCTGTATAGGAAGAATCCTAAATTAAAGAAATCATTGTTTTGCATATTTTCATTGTGCCATAATCTGGCTTTTATCTACATACTAAAACCTATTAGCTATCCATTCACTGCATTCCTAAAGTAAAAAGTATTTTATTGTGGTCCTCTTGTGGTGCTGTCTAAAGTGAGCGACTCTGACTCCCGTCCCCCTTAAGGAAACTTTCTTCTGATTGGCTACCCATCATTAACAGAAGGGGTGAACATTGTGTGTGTGCGGGGCTTTTGTGCTCACAGCCAGAGCTGTGAGACTTAAATGACCGTGTTGTCCTCTTGTCCCCTTTCACTGACTTCACACAGATTCAGGAATAGAAAGAATAGTTTGAAAACAAACATTTAAAACAGTCTTTTAGCTTTGGTGACCTTAGTGGGCATATTTAATATGAACTGAGGCAAACTGTATATAAGGGAAAGCACCATAAGTCCATTTTGAGCTGGTTAGTAGCATTATTACATTGCTTTTGAAAAACAAGCTATTTGTATTTAAAGAAATGGATGTTATCAAGTTTAACTTCACACTGAAATGTAAATACCAGGTGCTGTTGCTGTGTTCTCCACTAGAGGTCAGGCATGTAACCCTTTTGGCCTAACAGCTGTCTCTTTAACTGAACTCAGTGGGAGGGGACCCCTCTGTGTTGTTTGAACCATTAAAGGACTTAAAAAATAGTAACAACTGTTTGACTTGCCCACAGGCGACTCAGCGATACTCCGGGTACAGGCAGCAGCACAAAGAAAGAAGGTCTGCCCGCCTCCTTATCACGGCCCGCCGGTCAGCGTTCCTCCTCTCAGCCCACTCCAGAGGTGGACCCCCAGACCATCCTCAAAGCTCTCTTCAAGTCCACTACACAGTCGACCTCCACCACTGAGCCTCCCAGCTCACAGGCCACTGCCTTTCGCATCAAGATATAGCCCACGTCTAAAGTGAAAACTCTGTCTGTTCATGTTAGTGCATTCTCAGTGTTCTCATTTCAAACTGTGGTGTTCACATTGACAGCAGCCAGCACACATTCTCATGAAACTAATTTTTACACATTTGATATACATGACTCCTGTGAACGTGAAATTCATCATTCATGCATCCTTGTTTGGGTTTTATCAAAAGTCACCTGTTGGTTTTGGAAACGGAGCGGGGGGAAGTTTCATATGATCTTTTAATCCGATGTAGAGGTGGAGGAGGGGTAGTACCAAATTTAATTGCAACGGGTGTTTGGGTTTTTTTTTTTTGTATATTAAGTGACAGTTTGATTTAGTTTAATATATATCCCGTCATCCCGTCATTGCCGCTTGCCTCCAACTTCCAAAAGAGTAGGAGTTTAAAAAAAAAAAAAAACCCAGCCCAAACCCTTTGACTAATTGAGGACTGTGTGGTAGTGTTATTCTTGAGAGTTATGTAATATTTAAGGCTGAATATTCATGCAGGTGTGTTCATTTATCTTACCTGTGCTTCCCTTTGGGTTTAATGAGTGTGTATAATGCATTGGGGGAAAAATATATACAGACAAAACAAAAAACCAAACGTCTGTCATGTCTGTTTTATTAGGAAGGACAGTTTGGTTAAAATGTGGGAAGATGATTTAAATTGAGCCCAAAGTGATGCCAAAATAACTGAAAATACCTGCAAATCGGGGACTGGCGTAAGCTACATAATACCATAATAACTTCAGTAAGCTAGCTCTGAAACGGACATGTCAGTTTATTTAGTTTTAACATTCTTGTGGCATCCAGACTCGTATGCTCCGTGACTGGTTTTTGCTTGATGGTCAACATGTTTAATTCTTTCTATTATTACTCCTGATTTGTGTTGAAAGACTGTAATTTACGTTCTACTGCATTCTTGGTATGTAATGCAAGACGAGACAAAGTGGTAGGATGTATCTGAAATGTCACCATTAAATATTTAGCTTTGTAGATGATGTCTGAGACTCTTTGCTTTTCATATCATGATCTCTTTGTTGATTTATGTATCTGTGCTGTTAGGCTTTCTAAAAACAGTTCTGGACTTGTGAATGATTTACAAGTCTGGTGCTGAACCTTTAGCCGTCTTTGTTTCAGTTTTACTTCATAAATACACACCTACAAGTAAAACCAACAACCAAACTATTAAAAAGGAGAGATTCACTCCAGTTGTTGAAATTGGTTTGAGGGAAGCAAAACCATGGAGGCTTGTTTCTTTAATCATTAAATCAAGCTCAAATTTTCAACATACCAACTCAAACTTCTGAGAAAATAACTTAAGTAATTAGTTATTTTGAAATTTTGATATAAAAATTCATCTTCCATTTAAAAAACATCTAAATTTAAAACCCTGGGACAGGCTGGTGAAAAAAGTTATATGACAACATAAACGATAAATGATCCTCAGAGCATTTAGCCTCAAGGTCGAGGCTAAATTTGACCATTGAATTCATTTTTTAAGGTAGGCTGTAATACAAACTAAAAACTAAATGTGTGGGTTTAAAGCAAACACAGAACCTGCTTAGCAGAAAATCTGGGGAGGGGAACGGTACCAAACGGGAATTCAGTTGTACTTCCGGCGTGAAAGGTCACACCAAAATGGCGCCGTCCAAGAAGAAACACGCCAAGAATCAGGCTTCTGTTATTCCTGGAGGATTTACGGGTATTTCTAATTATTACGCCGTTTTTTCTGTACCGCTTTGTCCTCGTAGATAAATGTTTGTGTTACGTAACCCGGCTGGTGTGTGTATGAGTTTGTGCTGATCTGTAGTCTGCCATGTCGACAGGGTGATAGCAGACGCTGATGTGTTGTTTTTTCCCGTCTCTCCTCGCAGTGTTGTCCTTACAGTTCAGCTCCGATAGCGCCGCCAGGCACTCGCTGTACGTGAAGGAGCACCGGGTGCGAGCCGAGAAGAGTTCCCACAGACCGCTGGACCGGACTTTATTCGTGCTAAACATCCCTCCATACTGCTCAGAGGTAGCGCGCCTGCCTGGCTGCTCTGTTTGTCCTTCATATAAACAGTAACTACTGCACACTGCCTTTCCTCTCACTGTTTGTGTATGTGTGTGTTACAGGATGTTGTCAAAGATTTATTCTCGCAGTTTGGCAGCATTCAGTCAGTTGAGCTGAAAGACCACCCGGGGTCCTCCCAGGAGGCTGGACCCAAACTGTCCAAGTTCTTCAAACCAGCTGAAAAACAGGTTGACCTGTGTTCCTGCGCAGTTGCTCGTTTGTTTATGTATGTTTTGTAGATTTCAGTTTCACGTTATGTGTCTCTGTCTGTTTCAGGGCTTCAAAGTTGGCTATGTTGTATTTCAAAACGCCTCCAGTTTACCAGCAGTTAAATCACACCCACATGATGTGCCTTTGGTGGTCTGCACAGAGCAGCGCCCAGTCAAAACAGGACTGCAGAGTAAGTAGGCTGTTGCTAAAGTGACACAGTTTAATGTATGAGGCTTAAATAAAACCAAACGAGACATAAAACCGCCCCAAACACAGTGGATGGCTACAAAAAATGCGAAATATAACCAAAGAAGCAAAAGTATCTGCAAAAGATGTGTTCAAAAGTGTCATAAAATACTCAGAGATTTAGCTACAGAGAGTCACTAATAATAAAATGTGACACAAATGACCAAAAATAAGTGTGAATAAGCTTATGAGTGAAAAATCTGTTATAAAGACGCCAAAAGTCAAGCTTAACGTAAATACAGTGGCTACAAATCGATGCCAAATGGGACATAAAGTGACCTAAGAATGAGAAGAAATGATGCAGAACATCTGGAATCATCTGTAACAAATGAGGTGTATGACACGTGTGTTGTATTTTCTTTATGGCAGAGTGGATCCAGCAGTACACAGACTCCTTTATCCAACCGGAGCAGCTGCAACAAAAAGTCGACTCTTTTATGGAAGACTACGATAAGCATAAAGAAGAGGTGAGAACTCTGTCGCTGTTCCTTCAGCACCGCTGACACGTCCGCTCCGCGTAGCTTCAACGTGGGTTTGATGTTTTGTCCACAGGAAGCGGAGCGGCAGAAGAAGGAGGCCGAGGAGGAGCAAGAAGATGAAGAGGGCTGGGTGAAAGTCACGAGAGGGCACAAGGGTGCCAAGGCGCGTCCTCACAGCGAAGCAGCCAATCAGAGGACTCTACAGAGGGAGATAACGAAGAAGAAGAGGAAGGAGCTCTTGAACTTCTACACCTGGCAGCACAGAAACACGCAGAAAGAACGTAAGTCTCTGATATGTTAATGACATTGTTTACATTTGAGGTTGTGAAAGCATTTTATTTAAATAAGTTTCCTTTTCTTTCTTTCTTTTCCAGATATCGCTGAACTAAGGAAAAAGTTTGAGGAGGATAAACAGAGAATAGCTCTGCTGAGGGCACAGAGGAAGTTCAGACCTTACTGAGTCAGCTGCCCGTTTTTTCTTCTCATTTCACTGCTTTTGTGTATTTCAGTTGCATTATAAAGGTTTTATGTTAATAAACTGGTATTCTGACTTTATTTTACGATGATTAAATTTCTCGCTCCTCACATTAATGATAGTAAATCTAGTGAAGCACAGTAAAGCTACAACATGAAGTACGGAAATTTTATAAAACAGCAGTTTAAGACTAATCTCTTTCGCCTGAATTTTAAGATCACAATTTTATGATTTTTGTTCAACTATTTTTATTGTGAAGCACAAGTAGACAATTTTATGACTTCATCAAATTATCAGAGCAGGCGCCAGCAACTTTCTGTGATGACATCATAGGTTGATCTTGGTGTATTTCTGCGTGTGTACAGTGTACCCATCTTCAGCCAAATGTCAGAGCTCATCTCAACATCTCAATCCTATAGAGCACCTTTGAGTTGTGCATGAAACAGATCTGCATTGTGGTCGAACATGTCAGTATAGATCAAAATGTCTGAAGCACAGTCATGTCATGCCTTATTTCTTGATATTTTTCAAGAAAAATGGGTTCAGTAATTTATCGAAGTGCAAACACATACAGTACATGAGGCAATAACAGAGTTTGTTCACTTCTAACAAGCTTAAATCAGTATTTGGTGCGACTACCTTTATTCTCCAACACACTCAGAACTCTCTCGGGCAGCTTTCTTGTTCATTTTTTAAGTAGACTTCAGAAATAGTTCTCCAGACTTCTTGAAAGACATTCAAAGCTCTTCGTTGGAAGTTTGCTGCCTTTATTTCTGTTCTCTATCAGGAGGATCCTACACTGCTTTAATAATGTTGAGGCCCAGGCTCTGGGGAGGCCAATCCATGGCTGGTGGTTTCACTGTGTGTTTTTCTATCCAGCTACACTTTTACGGCATTGGCAGTGTGTTCGGGCTCATTGTCATGCTGTTAATAATTAGTTGGTTTCACATGGAATTGCATTGTGGATCAAAATGTGATGGCCTCACACCATGACAAAGCCTGCTCTGTGTTTTACAGATTGCTATAGACACTTGCATCCCATCAGATCTGCTGTTACTGATTTCCAGTCCAGTTTTTCTGCCATTTGGCTCTCAGCCTTAAGCTCAAAAAAACCAAAACAAATGCACATATGGACAAATTGACATTTATTGAGATGCATCTTGTTCGTCATGTGCTCGTTGCATTCTCCTGATGCTTGAACACACAATGAACAGCAGGACCACAAGAAGGCCAGCACCAACACCAGACAGGATGTATACGATCACCTGAAACACTAAGGAAGAGAGGGTGCGAGATTCTATTTAAAGAGTGTCATTCATACTCTTTCATGTAATGATTCTAGTTTGGTGTATTGCTGGATTTACTTTTTTCCCGTTTCATGCAGGGGTCTTTCTCGGCTTCAGTGTTATTCTGGACCAGCTGCATTGGCCCCAAAGAGACCAGTTGAAGCTGGTGGGGTTGAGATGCGGCCTCTCTTCTCGGCCTCTCCCCCTCAGATGCTTGTGGGAGGACACAGGACAGATTTTTAAAAAATTCCAAAAATAAACAGCACATTAAGTGTACTGTGGTATACTCACAAATGAAGGTACAACGCTGCACACAGTCAACGTCATTCGTGCAGATTTCCACCCAACAATAGAAGTACATCTGAGTGAGAGAAAACACATAGCCAGGTCTGTGGGGGGAAAAAACAAAACGCTGCGTTGCTGAAATATTATAATCTGATGAAACATACTTCCTCTGGACTTGGATGGCCTGTGCTGGGGTCCAAGAAGGCAAAGGTCTTGACATCAAACCTCCTGATTTGTGAGTGAGATGTGGTCTTCCCCTGTTTGTCCACAGGGACAGAGCTTCTCATATTATCCTGAGGATTTGGACATCTGTACAAAAGGGACAAAACTGTGCTGTTATATTTTTAATTTTTGTTTTTTTATTGAGGGGTGGGGGTTAATAACGTACCCATCATAGAGAAGTGTCCACACAGAGTGTCTTGACCCAGGATAAGCAAAGCAGTCTCGCACTCGCAGGGAAAGTGTGGGATCTGGAGATGGCTGCACGATGGAAATCTCCACATTCACAGCTTCACGAAGGGGCAAAGTCAGTGGAAGCTGTTCCTCGGGAATAAAGGATGTAAAGGATGCATCTGCAGCAACAAACATATACACATCACCAGCTGTCATTTGCATACAAAGTGCCTTTTCATTCCATTTTAGTACCTGTGGCTATTCTCATTTGCACTCCGATGGACCCCAGTGCAATGACAGGTGGTGGATTAGTCACCGCATACAAAGACCGCAGTTCTGCTGCACGCTTCAGATCAGAGGAGTCGTATTCACACTGGACCTGAAGACTAAAAACCCCAAAACATTCATCACCACCAGTACGGTCTTCTAGAAGAAGATGTATCCATCTCCATACCTAAATTGAGAATTTTTCCCATCATTTCCTGTATGTAGCTCCACCACTTCCACCTCGTAGATCACCACATCTCCATTTGCCTAAAAGCCGGAGAGATTTAAAAATTTTTTTAAAAAAAAGGTTTAAGAAAAGAAGATGATGTGAAAATTCATGGTGGACCACAGACACATCTAAATGAAAGCTTGTGCTCAATGCTGTGACTGGCTTTGTGTAACTGTGCAAAAATATTAGGATGATACCCCAATCTAAATATTAGATATAATATTTACCTTCCTCTTTGCACCGCAGTCTGAGACTCCTATCTTGAAGACAGCAGTATCTGGGGTTGTGACAACAGGGTGACAGTGCGGCTGATCCTTTACAATGAGGCTGCTGGGATCAATGGGCGTGTGTGCATCTGCAGCATTTACTGAGAACACAAAGTGTCCGTCCAGAGAGCAGGCTGGATGGAGTCAAACAGGATAATGTTGCATAGTTGTTTTTTGAGTAAAACACAAATTAAAAAACCCAAAAACAAAACCCTGTTTTGTCCTCATCTCTGCATAATTGTCTTTATAACTACATAATGTTGAATACTGCATTAGCATGTATTGAAAGCTCTGCTGCCAACTATAGATGACATTTTACTGCTCATCAGTGCCAAACATTATTGGTACTGCTTGGTACCTGGTACTCTGTAGTACCAAACATATTTACAGTGGTAACAAGACTGCATTTTGTAATGAAGGCCACGCATATACTGGCAGGAGGTCTGTCCACAGTCAAAATACATAAACCTCTGATTAGGTATCCATTTCTGATATTTCTGATTTCCCTTAAGCCCCCCACACGACTGGTTATTAAGGGGTTAAGAGTCCTAGAAGCAGCCCTGCTTGTTTAGACGAAAGGTTGGAGGGGAAAATACAGATCTTACCATTGAGTGTGTAGTAGCAGGCTGAATCACGAGCATCATAGCAGCAGCCCAGTTTGTAGCAGACATCACTGGAAACCCTTTGGTGGCCACAGTCCACTCGAAGAGCTCTTTCAATGTCACAGTTTCCAGGGAATGCTGGAGAAGAGTTCTGTTTTTAAATGTCTTAGATCGTCACTCTGAACTGTGCAGACTCCTACCCAGTATTGGTAATTACAAGAACAACAAGACAACACTCTAAACTTGGCTCCATAGGGAAATTGTGCCAGGGTGACTTTTGACTGATGAAAAGGGAGAGCGGATTTTAGGTATACAGGACACAACTGGGTCAGTGAGTTTGTCAAGCTCAATCAGCTGTCTCCACTCACGTGTTGGGCGAGGCTGGGTCCTCTCACTTCTTGCCTTTATCAGGGGACAGCTGATGTTGACCCTGATCCATCGATCCTCTCCTGCCAGCTGGACCTGCAGTGGGATGACGACTTTGCTGCCCTGAGGATGAAAGGTTATTGCAGCATGGCTGTCAAGAAGTGACATACATGCAGATTGTAAACTCATTTTTACCTCCATTGGTTTCAATCATTAAAACTTAATAGTAAATATACTATAGTTGCATTATTTTTGGCCCTACTTGGCAATCCCATACATTTCCTTCATGTAAACTCTGCAGCAAGATTCACACCTCAACACGGACAAAGCAGCTGTCATATCTGCTGAAAAACGAGAGGCTCTGGTTCTTCACTCTAGCCACTTGCACTCCACAGGTCTTCTCATACTGAGGCACTGGGACTGTGGCCCCTGTCACGTCTAAGGAAACAAAGCACACACACACATGGTCTGAGATCAATGCAAAAGATGAGGGTCAACTAAATGAACCAAGCATCTTCCTCACATCCCGCTGCCCTATACCTCACCTCTGGCGTACACATTGTTTTTCACCATTGGACCAAACACAGCTCTGATGCCTCGGAGAGAGCAGGTGACTCGCGGCATGGCGAGCTGTTTCCTCTGCTCGAGTGTTTTCTTCCTGTGATCGGGGGAAAGGCAGACGCAGCGCCGAGCCATGACGGTGAAAAGTAAAAGAGTCGCGCAAATCTTTATAAAACGATAATTCATCTCGCTATAGTTTGCAAACTTAACAGCAGAAACATCCAGCCCTATCTAAGGCGCTGGAGACGGTCACGTGACAGCTGTTAATTAGTGTTAATTAATTTAAAGCTATGGCGTTCCTCGGGCTCGGGGACCAGTGCAGTGCAGAGAGTTAAAGGGTGTCGCAGACCTGCTCAGCGTCACCCGCCTGCGCGCACCGAGAGCTACAGAAGCTGACGTGCACGCGGCCACAGAATAAAGCCGGTAATTAATAAAAAAGGTCAACGTTTAAATATTAAATATCACACTGAGCGCATGCACGGCCAACTCTATCCTAAGGGGGCCATTAAATGAAAGCATTGCATAACTCGCTGGCCTCACCCCCCTCTCGCGCTCCCCATGGCAAAGCTTGTACCCACCCCAGTTATTATATAAGCAGTCTTAAACCTTTACTCACTGCCATCAGAACACCCACTCATCCTGTCAGAATTGCAAGGAAATGCCCATTTTGTTGCGCTATTCCAGCTGTGTTTGCTTTGAAAACATTTTGCTTTGCAATAAATGACCTGATTTTCTGTGCAGGCTTAAATGAAGTTAGTTATCTTAATCCAGACCTAGCTGGACTCCAGCACAGTGCAGCTTTCAAGCTAATTTTAATTTAGCTAAACCTTAATTATCCCATTCAAAGGCTACAGTATAGAAAGTGTAGTACATAGAATCAGGGAGAGATCTCGGCAGTTGCTATAATGATGTTGCCTGCGTGGATAT